TGACAAGGTGTTATCTTCCTTTGTATCCGCATCATCCATCACTAGTCATCATGGTGGTATGTCGTGTTGCCAGGATCCTTGCCACGGATGTTGGTAGAACCTTGATGAATATGGAAATGCTCAAGTTCCTCAGAGCACGCGCAAGCAAAATCATCCCTTGCGTTGTCTTCAACAAGGTAGTCCACATCATCCATCCTAGTCCGAGTATGCCATTTCTTCGAGCTATTTCGAACGATCAGTTGTAAATTGCCTTAAGCTGGAATGAAGAGTTTCAATGATCTATGGATCAAAAGTAATTCTTTTTGCCACTTAAGGGAATATCTCTGCGAGTCACCTTCTTAAAGGTGTCTCGTTGTGGTATCATGGAAACCCAACTCCTTGCTACGTTGACACCGTTCACCACCCTCCTAGGTGTGGGGATTCCGCTACTTATTTAAACCTTGTCATATGCTCATTTCCATCATTCTTAATGTGTGTATCGTGTCTCATCTCGACAGATGTCGCTATGTCTCGTTCTGAGAGTTGATCGTCGGTTGCTTGATCTTCGAGAAGATCGATCCTTCCAGAGTTTTCCCTTCCCTCTCATTGTCATGTTGGTTGGAGTTCTCAGAGCAAGACATCAAGACAAAGATGGTGATCGAACCAACGTTCTTATGAAGTGCAACCTGGATCGTGAAGATTATGTTAGCTTGTGTTTTCCCCCTTCACCTTACCCTACGCTCGAATCTCGGGACGAGATTCTTGTTTAGTGGGGGTGAGCTGTCACAGCCCCAGTTCAGCCCTTGCTTGACTTTGCTCGCATCCATGCATCATGTTAAATTTCATGAAACTTGAAATGGGGATGATCAAACCCCTAGAACCAAAGCAATGAAAATAGTCCCAACTTTAAATATTTTCAATGAACCCAATATGCCCTTAAAAATGTTCATCTTTTTTGGTTCTGGCTAAAACCTTTGCCAAAAATGGGTTCATAAATTTTGGAGCCATTTTGGATTTTTGAATTAAGACATAACTACTTGCATTTGGGCATTTAAAATACTATAAATACTTTTAAATGCCCAAATACTTTTGAAAGTAATTTTAGGCTGTTGGGAGTAATTCCAAAGGTGCCTATGATTATTTTCAGAATTTTCTAAAATGGATTAGTCTTTCTACTAATTCAAAACAAACAACAAAGAATTAAATAAATGAAAACAGAAAAAGAGAGAGAGAGATAGTACCTGGGCTTACCTGGCGGCCCAAGAGGCCGGCCCAGCCCACCACCGCAGCCTCCCTGTCGTCTTCCTCCCCGGCCAGTAGGCAGAGCGTGTGCTCGCCGCGCGTGCACAAGCGCCCGAGCCACCTCCTGCCTGGCTGCCTGCGTCCCCGACGCCCTGGATGCCTCCATGCGTCGCCACGCACCCTCCCTCGACCCTCTGCACCTCCTCCCTCCACGCAGCTCTCTCCCCTCCCCTCTCTCTCACCCACCGAGCGGAGCTCGTCGCCACAGCCGCCGTTTTCGTAGCCACCGCTGTCCTCGCGCCCCCTCTCCCTCTCTGGAAGCTCCGCCATGACCTTCTCGTCATCTTCACCAAGCCAAACGACGCCAGAGCACCCTGCAACGCCGCCATTGTCGTTGTCTTCTCCCTCTGCCCCGAGCGCCGCCCCGTCCGATTCGTCGCCGTCCGGGCTTCCCCGACCTCACCGACGACGCCATCGAGTTCACTGTGAGCTCCTGCTCCTCCCCCCTTGCTCACCCCCTCCTTACCCATTCGCTAGTCACCGTCACCGCGAACCCGAGCTCCGGCCGCCGCCATGGCCGGTGAGCTTCGTGCTCCCGAGCTCCTCCAGTTGTGCTCGTTGCCTCCGCGTGCTCCTGGCGATCCCAGAAACCCATAAAGACCATCGGCCGCGCCCGCCGTGCCCCGTAATGCCTAAACCATGGATGCCCGAACTCCGGCGGCCGCAACCGAGCTCGCTGCTGTCGACTCCGGCCACCCCGGCTCACTCCGTCTGCTCCATCAGCTGCGCGCGAGCAGCAGCTCTTCGTAGAGCCTCCCCACGCCAAAAACCATCGCATGTGGGCGATTTCCGAAGCTCTCCGCCGTCTCTGGCCTCGCCGGCGTCGAACTGCGGGTCAACTCCGGTGGGGTTGACCCTGTTTGACTGGGGTTTGACTCCCCTGAGTCAGTGACATGTGGGGCCAGCCCCTCACTAACCCTAGATTATGTTTTTTTAGTTAGCACTAATTAACGTTGTTAATTAGTTAGGATGCTAACATGCGGGTCCCACTGGTCAGGTTTGACCTGACCAGCCACAGTTGACCTGATGATGTCACTCTTACGTCATGCTGACGTAGTAAAACCTTTTCTGGAATTTAAATAAATCTTAAATGATTTATTATTTTCAGAAAATGCCTAAAACTTCTAAAAATCATAGAAATTCAACCGTAACTCCAAATAAGCTAAATTATATATGAAAAATTATCAGAAAAATTCAAGGAATCCATCTGTACCATTTTCATGCATGTTTGAAGAATGTATGTCCTCTGTTTTGGACAAAACAAATAAAGGGCATTTAAATAATCATATATGGAGTTGGAATTTGAATCTTGTATTCAAACCAACTTCATTTAAATCATAACTAGATGCATTAGCTCAAATCACAGCATATTGCCATGTCATGATCATGCATCATATTTTCGCATATACATTGATTGTGTTCTTCTCTATTGTCGGTGTTTGTCCCCCTTCAGTAGACGACGTTCCAACAATGTGATCGATGACACCGATGAAGAACTATACTATCTTCAGAAGTGCCAGGCAAGCAAAACCCCCTTGTTCATTCCGATACAATCCCACTCTCTCGCTCCTGCTCTCTTTTACTGCATTAGGACAATAGCGATTCAACTGTTACATGCTGCGGTAGTTGAACCCTTTCCTCTGCATGACCTGTCATTGCCACAGTAATTAGATGAAACCCACTAGCATGAGTAGGAGTTGTTTGAGCCCTGATGTGCCTACTCATTCATGCTTGTTCGTCATGCCTGCTACTGCTTAGAGTTGAGTCAGGTCCGATTCATCGGGGATGAATTGGAATGTGGTGAACATGTCCTCCTGTTGAGAGCTAAGTGTGTGAACATGATTTGGTAAAGGTAGTGGTGAGAGGCCATGTAGGAGTACATGGTGGGTTGTCTCATTGCAGCCGTCCTTAGGAACTGAGTTCTGTGTTTGTGATCCATGAAACAACTACTACCACACATTGGGCCCTAAAATATGACCCCGCTCGACTTACTGACCCCTCTCGTCCTCTGTCCAGGAGTTGCAACTAGTTTCTGGTGTTTATAGGATATGTGTTGGTGGCCGTGTGTAGTGCTGACCCTAGGGGTGGGCTATGATGCGATAGATACACTGTGGCACGGTGTACCGGGCGCCCGTTTGGTGTCTCGGGAACCCTGCACACATCGTTTGGGGCTGTGAGCGAAACTCCGGCCGGATCTCCTCGCAGATGGAACCCGAATAGGCGATAAACATGGACTAGAGACTTGTGCAGTTAGTCAGGTCGTGGTCTACACCCACGTCGGCTTTCGCTTGAAGTCTGCCGAGCACATGTCGTGTGCAGACGCTAAGTGGTGGAAACATGTGTGACAAAGTACACCCCTGCAGGGTATAAAACTATTCGAATAGTTGCGTCTGCGGTAAAGGACTTCTGGGTTGCCTATAACAGTTCATAGAGAAGTGAAAGTGGATACTCTAAAATGCGCAAGATAAGCGTGAGTGCTATGGATGGCGTTCTCGTAGGGAGACGGGAGCGGAGCCATAGTGGTGTATTGATATGGTGAATATGTGGACTCGTGTGCGCCACCTCAAAAGAGTTACTTGCGGTCGTAGTTTAAGATAGCCACCGAGTCAAAGCTGGCTTGCTGCAGTTAAACTCCACCACCCCCTTGTTGATACCGATGCATATGTAGCTAGTTCTAATGTAAGTCTTGCTGAGTACTTTTGTACTCACGTTTGCTTAATTTATGTTTTGCAGAGAGACTTCAGTCTCGCTAGTAGTTTCGCGTGGACTTCGACGTTTAGCTTGATACCTCAGCTATGATCTTGTGCCCTTGGCAGGATCTGGTAGATAGTCAGGCTTCTCAGCCTTTTTCATTTGTAGATGTCTGTACTCAGACATGTTAAGCTTCCGCATGTGCTTTGATTTGTATGGTATGATTGTTGGGTCATGATACCCATGTTTGTAATATCTCGCTCCTCGGAGCCTATTGAATAAATATTTGAGTCGTAGAGTTATGTTGTGATGCCATGTTGTATTTACACATATCGAGCATATTGTGTGTATGATTGAAATGCTTGGTATGTGTGGGATGCGACAATCTAGTTGTTTATCGTTGGCAGCCTCTCTTATGGGGAAATGTAGTCTAGTGCTTCCATGAGCCATAGTAGTCCGCTACAGCCCGGTTCACCGGAGTCCTGCTAGCGCAGCACTACTGCTCAGGACACTTGACTAGCCGGCATGTGTTTCACTTGGTTCCTGTGTCTGTCCCCTCGGGGAAATGTCACGCGGTGACATCCGGAGTCCTACATAGCCTGCTACAGCCCGGGTTCCCGGAGTCCTGTTAGCCCAGTGCTACAGCCCAGATTCACACGTTGCTGACCGACATGCTCGATGTGATTCATGTATGCCTGTCCCCATATGTTGGTGCCGCTTTGGGTTCACAACTAGCCATGTCGGCCTGGGTTCCCTGTCATATGGATGCTAGCGACACTATCATATACGTGAGCCAAAAGGTGCAAACGGTCCCGGGCCATGGTAAGGCGACACCCATGGGAATACCGTGCGTGAGGCCGCAAAGTGATATGAAGTGTTACCGGCTAGATCGATGTGCCCTGGAATTGGGGTCCTGACACCGGTACAGACGTACAGTACTGCACCCAAATTTTTTTGGCCGAAATTTCTTATATATGGTACTTGACCAGCATGAAACTGTGCTTGCACAGCCATTTATGTGGGCCCCGGTAGCTGCTCTGGCTCCTCAGACAGAGCTGGTGTCTCCTCTGCCGCGGGTGACGCCTCCGGTGCCCGAGCCTGTGGTCGCTGGCGACGTCAATAAAGATGACGTTAGTCATCTATCTCTTTTAGTTTTTTGTAAAATCATAGGTGTGCTTTGGTCAGTCCTTTTCTCTATTTTTGGGGAAGGCCAGGGTTTCTTTTTATCTTTGATCGATGGACTCCATATCAATATTCTGTAGATTTGTTAGGTAACTAGCTAGGTTACATGTGTTGAGCCCTGTATAGGCAATATTTTGATGTAGATAAATAATTCTGCTAATAAAGCCACCTAGGTTTGGTGATTGTGCTAATACAAATACATAGCTTGAACTTGGAATTGAATTGCCTACGTAGGTGATTGTGTAAATATTTTCTGCAACTTAAGGATAACAACACCATGCCTTGTTTATGAAAATGTCATATTGTATGGTCATGAAGTAAATAATCTTCATTTTCTGTCATTCATGTCAGTATTGTCATTACGATGGACTAAGAATCTTTTCACATGTAAATTTTAAATATTACTCCCTTCATTTGAAAAATATTGTTGTGGTTTTAGTTTGCAATATAAATTTTTGAACACCCAAGTATGAAATCCTGGATCCACAACTGTGTAGCTAGATTACATTTATTGAGGCATGTATATGTCAGTTTTTGACCTATATAAATTATTTTGCTAATAATCCGAAACAGGTAGCTCCTCTGGCTCCTCTGCCGGAGCAGGCGGTGGCTCCTCGGCCTCAGCCGGTTGTTCGTCTACCGCGGATGTTGCCTCCCTTGCCCCCACCTGTGGTCGTCGCCGACGAGAACGAAGAAGAGGTTAGTCATCTATCCCCTTTATTTATTTATTTATTTATTTTGTAATATCCTAGGTTTTATCCTGTCAGTACAAGGCAAATAAGGTATTAAAATGTTGAGTACATGTTTGGTTGCACTTGATCGATCTTTGGTTTAAATGTTCCATAAGTGGTTGTGGCAATGATTTTAAACATTGATTATCTCTAAGCAATGGCTATTTTAGAAAGAAATTGGATATCATCAATGTTTTACTTGAGTTGTTTTAATTAGTTCTTTTGTAGGGTTTTTATTATTTATGCCACCAGTTGTATCCCACTACTCAGTTTTTCCCTTAGAAGTTACAGCTGCTCAAAAATGCCATCGATCCGTGACATGCTTACTCAGAAATGCCATTAGATGTATAAAAAATGCCATCATTCCGTTAGATGTTTGCTCAATAATGCCATTAGACATTGTTATTTTCATTTAAAACTTGTTGACCATCCAATATGACAAAAAAAAGCCCAGGCCCACATTTCAGTTCTCTCTATCTCACAATGATAAGTATGGCCCCACTTGTGAGCAGTAAGCGAATAATTTTATAGGAAAATAAGAACACTGTTGGGATCAAGTGGGCCCACACTTTATTGTAGTGAGATAGAGGGAGAGCTGGCGTGTTGGTCCATAGGTATTGATGCCATTATAGCATGTCAAGATAGATTTGATATCACAATAATGATGTAAAGTGGCATTTTTTAGCATGTGTCTAAAGAAGCAATGGCTTTTTTAGCAGTAGAAATTCCTAGTGGTGATACTTAATTGTGGGACACAACTGGTGGCATAAATGATAAAAACCCTTTTTGTAAGCACAACATTTGGGATCACTTATTGTCAGAATTCATAATAATTAACTACTTTACCTAGAACGTTGAATGGTTCAGGAACATTGATTGGTGGGGTATTGATCAACAGGGGAAACTTCCACGACGATAACATGTGGACTTTCAATATCCATCATCATAAACACACAAAATTCTAACCCTAAATAGATACAGCTCACAAGCTATTTTATCTAGTCATGCATGTAAGTTATAAGTCTTTTTTGCATTAGTACATCTGTATGCTGCTCTGCCATGTTACATCATCAGTTCATGCATTTTTACGTAACAAGTGAATTTTGTTGCACTAAAGGTTGTTTGGTTAGTGACTTTGCCAAAGATTGCCATACCTAAGGTTAGGCAAGTTTGACCAACTTAAGTGAGTGTTTGGTTCCAGCCACACCTTAGGCAAGCCACACTTGGGTCCCACATGGCATACACACAAAAAGTGTGGCAAGGTTCCCTCAGGCTTGCCAACTTGTGGCTCTCATTTTGATGAACTAACCTTAGGCAAGCTTGGGAAAAATGTGTGGCAAAATGTGGCAATGCTAGTGCTCTCTTCGACATGTATGATTGATCCTTCATTTTTTTACTATATAGTACTATCCCATTTAGTTGCTTATGTACCAACTAATAAGTTATGCATTTATTTTTTCAACATCATTTGAAGATATTTTATGTTTTCATCAATTACATTATGTTTCATAGACTCTGTGCCTGCTGAATTCTCATATTAGATATACTTACGCAACATTTGGTACTACATGTAGGTCCTAAGTGACGACGTCGACAATGACCAAGAAACCCAGAGGATCTACAGGAGGCAGAAGGCGAGGGAGCTGAACAGTGGTGTGCTCGAGAAACGTATCAGGCGATGAATCGGAAGGGGGGGCTACGGATGCCCTTACTGCAACAAGCTGATGAAAGGCGACCTGAGAAGTACCATCAACCATGCAGTCGGAACATCCCAAGGCAGCATCAAGAATGGCTACGGTTTCAGGGTGAAGCACGCCGCGTATGCCGAGTACTTGATGAGGCTTCTTTGAGGCTTTAGGGAAGTGCGCACCCTCGCAGCTAGAACTGATGCTCTTTTGGTTTTAACTATGCTAAGTACTACCCTGTGCTATACTTTGTTGGTGAACGTTTATGGTCGAACTATGTGCACCAGTACTACTAAGTGGTGCTTGCTTTTGTATGTATGGAAGTGTTGAACTAAGGTAGAACTATCTTAATTGGTGTGTGGTTTGGCATCTCTGCTTGTTAAACTCGTGCTCATTAATCATCGGCTCATTTAGATTAAGTAGCATAAAGCCCTGATTGTCTAGGTTCATTTGAAGCTAGTTAAGCTTGTGAGCGCTCGTTAACAGATTCTGATGTGTTATGGTATACATGATGAGTGTGTACATGTGGTTTTCAAGAAGGAAGATGGTGACTCAAAAAGGAAATGTCTGGTCTGTCCTTTTCTCTATTTTTGGGGAAGGACAGGGTTTCTTTTTTTTCTTTAATCGATGAGATGTCTATCCAGATTGTGTAGATGTGTTACCTAACTTGCTAGGTTACATGTGTTGAGCACTTTAGAGGTCATTTTTTGATCTATATAAATTGTTCTGCTAATAATCCGGCTATGGTTGGTTATTGTGCTTATACTATTTCGTAGCTGCACCTTGGAATTGAATTTCCTATGCAGATGATTGTGATAATAACATAAAGATTGATTTGCGCTGAGCACGAGTTATGCACTAGGAAAATAAGGTCTTAAAATTTTCAATCCCCAACCCATCCACCCCGGACACGAACTTTGGATTGCATCACGTAGATGTACAAAATCCAGTTCCTAGCGCCTACAATTGTGACTTTTTTTCCAGGATCCTAATTAAGCGCCTAAATAAGCCGGCTGCATTGTAGGTGCCCAACACCGAAGTATTTCCGCTGTAGTAGGTAACTACCAATTACTCCCCGCATCTCTCCCCCTAGCGCACGCTCTAAAACTATCGCCGTCGCTCACACGCCCGCCTTGCTGCCGCCGGATATGAAATCCACTCGTGGAGGTCGATTGGTCGTCGTGATAGAGCGGGGACATGGACGTGGGAGGCCTGTCATGGACGCCGTTGTGACAAATCGTGGACTTGCGGAGCTAACCACCGACGTCGTCGTCCATCGCATGGATGAGGATCCCCACGAGAAAGCTTTGGACTACTCGGTGTCCGACCCAGAGAAGCATCGTGTCAATGAGGTGCAGTACTCCGTTGTCGATCACAAGCAGCAGCACATGCACGGCATGGACTGGAATTCCGTTACAGTAATTTTAATTTTTTAACCCTAGATCTGTCTTCAAGTTCAAGGTTAGAGGTTAATCATTAAACCATCAATACATTGTTGAATTGGCATAATGGAATCTAGCTCTAAATATAATGTTGATCATCAGTACGTAATGATCATTATTTATTCAATCAATCTTTGAGAAATTAATGTTTCATCCACTCCACAATTTAGTGCGTTTTGGTTTTATGCTAAAAGTTAGACATCATAAAGGTTGTGCATGTTTATTGACAATTTTTTTAAAGTACATCATATGATTTATGCTTTCATATGGATTTGATATTGCTTTTTCTCCTTAAATTTTCAAAGTTAATAAATATTTACTTTAAAAATAATTTATAGGCACTACAATATGAAACTTAGGGAATATTAGGTACTGTAAACAATGGTGCAGCTTATATCATACATAATTTAAACTTGCAGCCTTATTCTCATGATTATGCGGACATTTCCGAAGGAGAGATGGATGCACACACTCAGAAAACCCTTGAAGAATTGCAGAATGGACAGTGCAACGTGCTTAAGCGTATGGCATATCGTTGCGCATTCTGTGGCAAATATCTGGACCCGGCTTTCGTTAGTATTCTTGAGCACGCCGAAGGAGTTGCCAAAGGATACCAAATGAAGCATGTGTGAGGGCGAAACACAAGGCGCTAGCCCAATATCTCAGGAATTTGTCGGACAAAGAGAAGGTTTGAAGAAGGCGTTATGAGAACCAGCATGCAAAAGAATAGATGAATAAACGAAACCATGAAGAAGTTCTGGTTGGCATAAGTAGTCATTCGTGGGTTTTTTTTGAAAATACCAATGAATATTTTAATTTATCATAGTTTTTGCAAAAATGTTACATTTATTAAATTTAATCATAAAAATGCATACAATTCAATTATTGATTTTTTCAAATATTTGCAACCTTGCATCTAATAGTTTACCATTTTATTGGTTAACCATTATTTTCATATATATATATATATATATATATATATATATATAATGTGGATTGCTTAAAATTATTCAAGATCAAGTGGTACTGAAAGACTCATCCACATGCAATATGAACTGCAGTGTATTTTTAGGGTTCCTTTAAAAGAACACCTGTGGTCATGCTGATCTTTTGTGTTTGGCCAGAATTGGTAAAGCTACCAAATCTGCATTGATCCGGCCCAACACTTTGTTCCTTTTGTGGGCCTGCACAAGTGGGAGGCAGAGAGAAAAGCGAGCGATGGCCCCAACCCCAACCCCACCCCCATTCCCAATCCCACCACACTTCATTCTTTGCAGAGACAGAGAGGCGACACGGAGGGCGACGGCTAGGGTTTTCCTACTTTCCCCGTCGTCGTCAAATAGGCCGGATCCGCGAGGCCACCCACTCTCCCCTGCTCCGACCACGATTCTCCACTACTTCGTCGACAGCAAGGTCCGACAACGGCACCTCTTCTCCCCAATCCTTGTCGCGCCACCCGAAGCTCCGGTGGTGCCAGCTTCGAACAAGTCTACTCCAGCCCCATCTGGTACCACTTCGCAGGTAAGATTGATCTTCCCTGCCCTTATAATGTCGATCTGACCTTAATTTTGCGATCTAGCAGCACCGCCCAAGTTAAAATCTGACACTTGCTTGTGTGCATGTTTCGGGTATTCGCAGATTTACTGTCAACTAGTAGGTCATATTGCAACAACTAATTTTTCAGCAAGATAATCTGACAATGTACTGCGTAAGCATGGTTTTACTTGTTCGTATGGGTAGTAATGGGTAAACAGTTTCATGCAAGTAAGAGAAAAAGGTGGGTGTTGGCCAGCATACCTTGCTCATCGACATAGCCTTCACTATGCTATCATCTTGCTTGACAGATGCTATCAAGTACTTTTTCCCCTGGAAAATGGCCCCCCACTGCTAGATATAGAAAAATTATATTCACAGGAGCATACACATGTTTTGGTTTGTTGGGATAGTTTAAAGACTGTGTATATGTATTTGCTGATGCTTAGTTATTAAAAACTAAAAAGGCGAGCACAGAAGCAGTCCATGAGGAAATTTGTAATGATGGAATGAGGATCAGTTATAGTTTCATGTATTACTCGATGGTAGTATGATGATTAGTGCATATTTTGAAGGATTTGTCAAATATAGACTGCTCTTGATTGGTGCATGTTTTTGATGATATGTGCACACATGTAATATTTTAGGTTGGTGCATATTTTTGCTGATTGTTGTTACCGCTTACTTGAATTATGTCAGCCTATCTCCAAGATATGGTATGGGCTTGTTGGGGTCAATGAAAATTTCCTGTGAGCTAGTAGTACACATTGCAACAAATTCCTCAATGTTGGATTTTCTGACAATATACTTCATAATCATGATTTTACTTGTTGGTATGGGTAGTAATGAGTAAATAAATATCAAGTATACAAAAGGGTGACAATTGGTCAGCATACCTTGCTCGTTCTCATAGCCTTCACTATGTTGTCATCTTGCTTGAGGGATTCTATCATGTCCTTATTCTCACTGGAAATTGGAAAATTAACCTCCACAGCTACCTCCAAAAATGTTATGTACAGCAGCAAATGCATTATTTGTTTTGTTGGGACAATTTAAAGACTTTATATTTATTACCTGATGGTACCACACAACAGCCCAACAGGAAATTTGCAGTGATCAAAGGCAGATCAGTTATAGTTTCACGTATTGCTCGATGGGAGCAGTCAATCATGGTTCATTTTTACATGGCTACTAATTGGTTGGTTACCGAGTTTTCTTGTCCACCTCACAAAATTGTAACCTTGAAATATCATAATTGGTTATGTCTGCCCAATGATTATGAGTCTAACCACTAGTCTTGACTAGTCGTGCGAATAGTTGTCGACTAGCTATTTCGTGTAGATGTTTATATATGAACTACATACTTAGCAAGAAGTATGCGAAAAGATTATTCACATTGTATATGGTGCTAACAAGTCATAATGGAAGACTGATTTCATATATCAATAACTAACATTTGTTCATTGCAATGCATGCAACGGGTTTGAATGGCAAGGGAAACCATCCTCATCAGCAGTGAAGAGAGTGATCACCAGACCACCTCAGTTGATGCTTCAGATGGCACTTCACGTGGGAGTGACGGCTATAGCGGTGATGGCGACACCTCTAGCGACTATGACACTGATGATAGTTCTGATGGAGATGGAGATGTGGACCACGATCCTATCTTGGCACTACGGGGTAAAGTTCATTTGGCTGGTCGGATATTAAATGAATCGTGAAATATCGAAAGTTGATGTTTGAGTGACACTTGATTACCACACATTACTCTGTTTGGGTTCTAAATGACCTTCCAAATCAACATTGACTGAACTAGAGCTTACATAGAGCAGTGTTTAGTTGTTAGTTTAAATAAATCAAATATTCAGTTTGCCCATGTTTCTACGAGATATTGCTGGGTGGATGTGATTGGGTTATCTATGTCCTTCATTTCTTGATCATTGGAGTAGGCATTGATCATTAACCCAGTGCTGATGTTCTAGATCTTACATATGAAATTATTTACTACTCTGTCATCTTAAT